TCACCACATCCTTGATTTGTTTGCACAGATGGATTCTCCTTGTCAACAGCTTCCTGGCGATATATTATATGTCCCATTAGGACAAGCAGAAGCCAAGATATTGACCCTTCTCTGTTTGGAGCCAAACAAGACCAAAGCCAATAGCACGCCGACGCGATTCCGCGTCATCGTGCCACTAGCTTTGGCTTTGTTTGTTTTCAGCCACAGCTCAACATAATGTGCTCATTAATAGACAAGTGTATGGTGTAACATACCACTATTATATATCACCAGAAAGCTGTTGATGAGGCGAATGCAATGGGGATGTTTGTATAGCATTCTGAGCACATATGGGAGTGCTACAAGCCAACCAACGCACCATAAGTGACTCTGGGTCACAATCTGTCACTAAAGGGGATCAATGTGGGTCTAGGTCAGTGTTTTCCCAGGCATAATGTCAAGTATTATATACTGTCAAGTTCGGAAAATTGAGCTCTACACAATGGTGTTGCTTGTAGGTCAATAGAATGCCAATTGAAGGCATAAATATGAGTAAAAGGATGTTCAGGTCCAGATTAAGCAGTTTATCTTATAAACTGCTACCACTATCTTCTGCCTTATATAATGAAAGTGTCCTGCAATATAATAACGAAGCTTGATAGATGGATTAGTGAGCATAAAGACCGGGTATTGTGCATACAATCTGGCAATAACCTTCAGCCACAATTAGTGTTTAGTGCATTAAAGCTTTTGTATTCAATATAAAACCATGATTGTACCACCATTAGATGCACATTAGAAAGACCTTTCCAATGATATATATTTGTCCTATGATGTGGTAAAGAATGAGCCAACAGGGGGCAAAATGAGTTGCAGCTGTGGCTGAGAACAAACAAGACCATACTTGGTGGCAGGGGAACACTGAGCTGCATTCCCCTGCCACCAAGTACAGTCTTGTTTGGTTCCCACTACAAATGTCTTAATATCTTGCCTCTTACTGGTCCATATTTCATAAAACACACATCACCAGGAAGCTATGGATGAGCAGAGTCCATATATCCAAAAATTATTTGGATGTGGCCACCTTTGCTGCCACTATGCACAGCACAAAATCCTATTAGTGCCACAATCAGAAAAAAGCGCCCATGGCACATGGCCTGATGACATCATTGCCTCACCTCTGAGTGTGATATACCACCAGGTTCTGGATTTTAATCTATATTCAATGGTGCTGTCTAAATCTTTATCAAATGGAGCTAAGAGGGACTATCAATAATGCAGTATTGCAGCTGATGTATGCTATTGCACCATATATGGAAATCTGATCATGTTAAGAAAGTGTGTGGGGGTAGGCTGGTGTAGTGGGAAACCAGTCCTCTGCAGGGGTTTGATAGGCACGTCCACGCTTGTACAACCGGGTGTTCGAATCCCCTTGCCTCTGCCCTCAGAACCCATTTTGGGCCACGAGTTTCTCCTGCCCCAATTACATCTCCACCCGGAAACGGGCGATCGGGGCCCTCCGGAACCCAGTACTTGCACGTGCATCCCCACACCGCCCGGCTCTAATGGGGGTTTTTGGCAACACATGTCCAGGCTTTGGCCCCGCAGCAGCAGCCGCATCACACGCAACCACATAATGACCACCGGCGTAGCCCGGCCTACCTTCCCATTGTGGTGTGGGAAACCGTGATGGAGTCTGGCATGCGCACAACCAGACCGAGGAGCAGGTGTAACCGGTGGCGGTGGGCTTGGCTTAGGGGGGCCGGCAGCATCAGTCTGGGCCGGGATTGCAAGGGAATGACAGGCATTGGAACAGTTTAGATGGAGGTTTGTATCATGGTGAGAATTTTCAAGTGACATATCTGATTATTATAGCTTAGCACCCTGGGCAGTTCAATTAAGCTTAAATCATTACTCTACTGAACAACATATGGAACACTGCAATGACATTGTACTATTCCAGGGGAGGAAATTCCCTGATGACATTTATGTTGTGTCTCTCTGATTGCATCTATGTTAGGTTGTATCAATTCAAGTGCTACATCAAATAATGCATATTTGAATACTTTGAATATGATAAAAAATACTTAGAACAAAAGTGGGAATACTCTTAGCAGATGAAAGCAGGGGAATTGATGCAAAATCAATGCATGCGGATGATCTGGACTGTTTCAAGGCTCATATCAACTACATATATCAATACAGTGTCCATGGCTTGTTCTGTGCCAGATATGCATGCATCATTAATATGAATTCTCAGTCCAACTACATAAATTATACTGAGAAATACATATCCACATCAATCGGATCTGCCAGTCATGGCCCTTTTCACCCAAGTTTAAGCTAGGCCAGGATGCATGCATGAGTTCATTTCCTCAATTGCTTCAGTCACTGGCAATGGTAGATGACATAAACAAACAGATTTCACCCTATATGTCAGACATAATGCCTCAACTGATAGCTGACTAGCCTCTCTTAGTGTTATATGCCATATAACCACTACTACCAGATCATAGCTCTGAAAGAACCCACTTGGCTAGAGAGGGCCATAACTGGCAGGTCCGATTGATGAGGGTACATATATCTTAGTATAATTCATATAGTTGGGCTAAGAATTCAGATTGATAATGCATTTAGATCTGGCCCAGAGCAAACTATGGATGCTGTGTTGATATATGTAGTAGATATGAGCCTTTAAACAATCCACATCATCCATATGCATTGATCTTGTATCAATTCCACTGCTGTCATCTGCTAAAAAAACTCAGACATCCAAACTCCCATTTTTGGTTTTAAGCTATTTTTTATTGCCTTCAAGGTATTCAAATATGCATTACTTGATATAGCACTTGAACTGATGCATCCTAACATGGATGCTATCAAAGGCACTGC